ACATTTAAGTACATGTTCGTTCTAATACCTAATCTGCGATCAGTGATTTCTCATATGTAATGATTCGTGTTCAGTCAGATGTTCTTTTTCTCAATATCATTTACTGCTGTTTATGCATCAGTAAATCAAGCCAGTGACTAACTACACGTCATTTCTTTTATAAGCATGTAAATAATCTGTTATTTAAATTGTGATTAAATTACATACAGAAAACAATCAATGAATGCTCCCTTTATAATCGCTGGAGCTGTCAATCACGCAGAACGAGTTCATATTCAGTGACAGTCTACACTACACAATTAATATTATTTACATCATGTTTGCAATGTTAGTTATGATGAAAGCATTTGTGAAAGTGCAAAACTCGAGTTGCAATGATGAGATCACTGCATGCATGCGCTCAGCAGTCTGTCATTGGCTACAGTGTTCATCACGGCAACCTTTCATGCGACGGAATAGGAGTAGATCTAAATATAATGCTACAATCAACACAATCCATGATTAGTCTCACAGCGAACATGCCCCTTCCAACAGACCGTTCAAATCAGAGGGCTAAGATCAGGGTAGAAAATGCCCTTTTATTTAAAAATTTCGACATGTAAAAATCATACTAACATTATAAGTGCACCTCTGGTAACATTATCAGATAACAAAAAAATACAGTTCATGACCCCTTAAAAGTGAACACTTTAAAACAAAAAAAAGGTGACTGAAGAGCATCACATGATAAATGCACTTACAATGAGCACTGCAAAAAAGCTCAGATGATTACAACTGCATACAAAGTCTCCGTTGACGATGGTAGTCTTACAGCCGTCTGTCCTCCAGTTACCTGACAAACAGACACAAATACGTAAAACAAAAAGTCGATCCAGAAACATCTATTCAAATGAGAACTGTAATATATCACATTCGTTTTCACACTCATTATATGACAGTTACAAAATATATAGGTCGTTCTCAGGAAACAGTGGCGTTGCAGTGACATTGCAGATTTTTATCATCTTGCATTCACAACGTCTCTTCTCTCAACGTCAGGCCAACACAAGTTAAACCCCCCCAGTCTGCCATTCCAGCAGATCTCTCCTGTCACTCGTTCTCATTGACAACAACATAACTCTTATGACTAGCTTTCACTCCATAGATAAGCAGGCTTGGGTAACTTGCACATTGCTAAAAGCACTTTAACTATTTAGTGGCTGAAAATGAGCCTTTCCTTCTTTTCCAATCAAAACCCTCAAAAGTTGTGTTTAATCAAATGTAACAGGGTTGACACCAAACAAGAAATAGCTTGGTTTGAACTTATTATACTTTAGTAATTGTTAGTATTATAATGTCTGATTTAATATACTGTAAGGTGACTGTGACAGGGTTAAAATAATAGAGCAGTTAGGCTTATAGGCTTAAAGCTAGTAACCATAAATTACTAGTACTTTGTAATGTTGTGACCACATTTTGTAGATTAGCGTAATGTTTTAAAGGGGTCATGAAATGGAAAATCAAAATGTTCTTTATATTTACACGTATGAGAATTGTAACACGATAATTTTCCTCGGCACGGCCTTTAACATGCATTCTGAGCAACTCATGTCTGTCCATCAATCACAAGAGTGATACTGATGCTGAATTAAGATGTTAGTAAGACCATCAAACTCATCAAAGACTCTATTTTGTCAGTGGATGTAAAGAAACTGCACCTCCAAAAACGTTCCAAGCATTTGAAATGCATGGCTGAAGTTTATAATGACATGCCTGAGCGACTGAAAGTTCTCCACATGCTGCCGTTTTTTCAGAATATCTTTTATTAAAAGATATGGCAGTGGCAAGCATTTTGTCCTCGGAGGCAATGCACATTAGTTTTGTAATCTGACAGCGTGTTTGTAATAAATGCAGAACCAGTATTGAACGCTATTAAAACACCAAGCGCATCACTACTAATAAAATTAGTACACCTGTGTACATGCAGTGTCTTTTGTAATACAACAAGTAAGAATAGTACTTTTAAAACTATATACCGAAAAATTAAGCATGCAGAAGCAATTTCCACACTGAAACAGATTGTTGTAATCAACGTTTTTTCATTATTTTTAAATATTGGACCAGTTTTTGATGGAAAAAAACGTAAACTAACCTTGAGAAACATTTGATAAAAATCTGAAACTGCATTTCATGACCCCTTTAAGAACTGTGATGACTATGTCTATATGGAGAGTCTGAATCCATCCTGGTACTTTGGGCCTGACATGTGAAAAATGATTTCTTAAAAAATTTCTTTGAGTATAACAGTAACAATTTCAAGTGAAAAATCAACACACACACACACACACACGCACGCACGCACGCACACACACACACAAATGCCACCATCTGAGAATGACCTAGATTATAGAGAATTGAACATTTGTTTTAGTTTATTTATAGAGGTTTATTTTTGATGGTGTGAAAATCATACTGACCTTTGCCATTTTTTTCAAGATGCCAGTAGACACAGGTTCCATTTTCACTCTGCAATAATAAAAGCACACGTTTACAGAAGTGAACATTTGCAAGTGGTCAGCAAAATCCACAAGGGCCACGGTGTGTTTTTACAACCGCATTATAGTGTGATGTGAAATCATCTCACCTGATTGGTGTTTATGAATCTGAGCTGAACAGGCTGAGAAAGGTTCTGAACTTCATTCTTACCAAGCCAAACTCCCAACACAGTTTGCCCATGCAATATTGTGCCTGGCGTACTTGGGTTATTCCCCTTCTGTGTCAACACCACAATGACAAATGATTCAAAGAAGAAACCACTGGGCTATGCAATGCAGATGTTGCCCAAAGTATATAAAATCGCATTTAATTAGACACAAACAAGTCTTTAAGGGACATACATACAGTAATTCTGCATACCTTGTTTAAACTGCTGCTGACCCCGAATAAAGTCTCATTGAGAAGAGACACAATCAAATCTGCATTCCCCCGTCCATTAATGCTCCTCTGTAATGCTTCGTTTGAGATGTGGATTACATATCCTCTATCTGTATCGACTGTTTCCTGAAAAAAAAAGTGAAGACACAATTCAGCGTGTGGCCTAACTGATCTTCCTGTACTGCTGACTATGTTGCTGACACTTGAACTTTGTTTCTTGCTTTATGGCTTTTTTTTTTTTTTAAGTTAGTCAATCAGACAGTTAACTACTGTCTTAAACCTAATATTCCTTTTACATTTACATTTATTCATTTGGCAGACGCTTTTATCCAAAGCGACTTACAATTGAGGAATACAACAAGCGATTTACCATAAGATGGCAATAATTTAACAGAATATATAGAATAACTTTTATAGAATAACGTTGTCTAGTATGTATAGATCATAATACTATTCAAACACTGACTTTGTCTGTATATGGGTTCAGTAAATATCTACTATTTTGTTCTTCTGTCATTTAGTCTTACCTCTGAGGAAATGAATGTAGAGAAATATTTTTGGTCTTTTATCCTAGGGGCTGTAGATGAGCAATTTCTCATTCGATCTTCAATACACCTGTTAAAAAATACATTTGATTCATTTTATACCTCTAAAATATTACCTGACAGCAAACCGACCTGTCCATTTTATACATTTATTACATATAATAATATAAATATAAAAACTTTATACTTCCTAGCCAACGTTCTCAGAACTTTGGCTAATATTCTGGCAAGGTTCTCTCAAAGCCTCTCCCAATAATGTTAATAGAACATTCTTTTCAAAGTTATTTGGTCTTTAATATTCTTCTCAAAATGTTATTTATACATTTCTAATGCGTCAAAAGTATTAGCATTCAAAAGTAACTTTCCCATAATGTTTGCAAAATGATAAATGGAACATTCCCTTAATGTTCACCAAGCCAGTTGGCAGTTTGCAAAATGCTCTTAGAACTTATTTTGTTAGCTGGGTTGTTACAAGATCAACAAGATAACAAAACTCACAATGGAACATTCGTTGCCGTCTGACATTTTACTGGAACCTCATGACAACGCTCACCTGCGAACATGTCATATCATGGGAGGTAAATAGCAGTGCAATCAATTATTCAATCCAAATCTTTATCACTACAGATTTATAAAAAAAAACATTAATTTCAATTTTACTATGCCACAAGAGTAAACATGACTATAATCAACAGTCACTCTTTTCGAGTTAAAATGACATGATTATAGTAATTTTTCAGAGCTGAAATGTAAAAATGTACAGCATATTCATACTCACGTTCTTTAGTCGCTATTGTGGAAGAAAAAATTGGAAATATCCAAAGAACAACACAGCAAAAGCCTCTCATTTCTCTCTTTGAATGCTCTGTTTCTCTAGTGTGTGTACCCTTTGTCAAGCACTCTGCAAAGCAGGTCTCATGTGATTGCTGTGGTTTCCTGTCTGACATAGCCTAGTTTTTAACATCACTTCATAAAGAACCATGACATGGTGGACAGAACTGGATGCGTACTTACCAACACGAAACATATGTGACGTAACGGTGAAAAGAACCCTGACATTTCTAAATGAATAACTAATCACATTTAAAAAATGCAATACAATTTTAAATGTACATATATAAATGGCATTATTGTAATAGGCTCAGACATACATTTCAGGTTTATAGATTTATTATTAAATTATTATAAAATTCAAAAACACTAATAATAGAACAACTGTGCATTTACCATATTTATTTACAAATCACAGCTTTGAATGTTTTTGTTAGATATGATAAGCAGGTTTGAGATTAGATTTGTTAGATCATAGATAGGTTTTAGTTTGTCTACAACTACAAAGAGGAAACTGTATTTTTTTTTCTTCAATGCACTGTTACCAAAGGAAGTACTCTTGCAAAAAAATAAAAATTAAACCGAACAGCTCATGATGAAATGTGCCATTTTTTGTTTGCCTGTTGTTTAAGTGTCATTTTCATTAACCCAGGCGCATTTCTGTGGGTCAGCTGGAAGATGTCTTCTTGTAAAATCATGTCAGAGGTTTTAGTTAGAGAAATGAATGAGAGGACCTTATTTGGAGCTGTCCAGAGTGGATTTAGACTTGGAATGAGGTGTTTGCGCTCTGTTTTTCCTCGCTGTACCACACATCCACACAAAGATGTAAAACCCTGTAAACAAACAAACATGATGCTTCAGTCCATCATGTTTTCAAAAAATGTTTTCAAAAAGTTTCCATTCCCTTTTTCTTTAGTCTTTACGTCACTGTATTCTTCTACTTCTACTTAACAGGGAAACAAAGAAGCCAACTTGTTGTATTTCACATCCTCCTAGACTAGTGTTGTGACTTCATAATAACCCTTGTTTTGACCCTAACTGTCTTTTGGTAGCAGAAAAAATGCTATAGTTTCACATAATGGCGTATCATTGTGATGTGACTAATAATTCCTCCTCATTTTTTCCCTGCTCTTGTTCACCTGGGGGGCGGGGGGGAAATAACATTAACTGATTTTTAGCAAAACGTCTTATTAATATTTGAAAAGTCATGTGATTTGACAAACAAGATCATGTGGTACAACCAACATGTGGAAAAAATAAAACTGGATATTACTTTTCAATTATAGACTCTCCAAAGACTTATCATAGTCATGAATTTATAATTAATGAAATTTGTAAAAATAAAAAGCATTTTACATTGAAAAATGTTACATTCACGTCCATTTAAGATGTGACGCAAATAGGTTATTACATTGTACCTAATGGTTACACCACATGACATTTCAGCGTCGTTCATTTTAAACTTGGATTGAAAAACCATTTGAAACCAATATGAATATTAAGAGTACTGTGCATTTCTAAACTGGCATGGGTTTTATCACGAACACTCTAGTGTGTCATTAACCCACATTTTCTCTCTTGTACCCCAGGTAAACCTACCTTGCATTGTGTTTAAGATGCAGAATAGGTAGAGTATCGGGTAGTTGATATATCCATAGCTGAAGAAGGCCAAGCCCCATGTTGTACCCACCAGGCACATGAGGCCCAAAACTGTGCCAGCATCCTTCCAAACTTGCATCTTGTCATGCCTGTTGCCCACATGTCGTAGCCTAAGGATCTGTCTGGACACTGTGATTAGGATTGCTAAATTGAACAGGAATACGATGGAGAAGTAGAAAATGTTCACGCCATACAGGACGTGAGGGTCTCTGATCCAGCAACTGTATTGTATGAAAAAAGGTTGAGCAGCCTGTACTTCATACATACATTTGACAGGCAAAGTGTCCTACATAATTTAACTACATTTGTCTTTATGTAATGCAAAGTTATAATGTAAAGACTTACATTTGATTTGTTGCATTCGTATCAGAAAATTTCATCTCCGTTATACCATACATGTTATTAACCGACAGCAAGCCTCCAACAATAACTGCAGGGACTCCTGTCAAGAGGACAAGATCACAGCATGAAACACCACATTTCAAAGCTCAATTTTGATCACATTTGATTTTTTAAACATTATCCTTTCATCATTTATGTTGTTCCAAACCTGTATGACATGTAAAGATATTTTGAAGAATGTTTCTACTGTTTTGTCCATTCAGTGGGCAACACTGGACCCTTACTGATCTTCATTGTAAAAAAAAGCATGCACATACATATGATACATACTTTGAAACAATGTGAATTGTGAAAAACGCTATACAAATAAATTTGCCTTGACTTCACTTGACCAGTGGTTTAGAAAATGAATGGATGGATGACTGTGAGACATTTTTCTAAATATCTTATCTTGTGTTATGCAAAGTAAAGAAAGGTTTGCAAAAACATGTATGTGAATAAATGATGACAAAAAGTTTTTTCAAAAGTTTTGAGTTGAAATAAATTTCGGGAATTACAATAAAAAGTGAAAGTTAGCTGAAAAAGAGCAATCAACACAACTCCAGCCCATCAGTAAACGTCTTGTGCAGAAATCTGCACATTTGTAATAAATCCATCATTAAGATGTTTTTAACTTCAACCCATTGCTTTCAGTCTCTCTGTCCATATTTCTTTCTCCAGAAAAAATGCCATCTCGTATGAATCAGGGGAGAAATGTGCACAGATCAACCATCATTTACAATCGAAATCAGTCCAAAACAGCTCTGAACAAATATTAAGTTTGATTTTGATAAGAGAGGACAACGGGGGATTTTTTTTTCCCACTGGAGGAGCATTATTATGGATTATGTAAGGAATAATTGACGACGGGCCGTTTAATTATTAGAAAAATAATGTACACCCGAGGTGGTGATGCCGTTACACCTCGTGTGTATTATTTTTCCAATAATTCAACGGCCCGTCGTCAATTATTCCGCTTATACTACGGTTACCACACCTCAAGACATCGATCAGATGATATATTTAAAGGGATTCGTCCGGTTTTCTATGCGAAGTGATATGGAACTGTAAGGCGGTCAAGAGAGCTGCCTGGAACTACGTTCGCCGTACGTTTCCCTGAAAATAATTGCACACCTCAGAACGTTCGTCAGCCAATCAGATTCAAGCATTCAACGGCCCCCGTTGTATAATGACTAGTATTATTGACTGAAGAGAAGTTTGAAACACTTTAATGATGGAATTAGCTTATTAAAAACACAGCTTTTTGTTTTACAATGGTGTTAGTTGATGGACTGGAGTCGGCTGGATTGCTTGTGGATTATTGAGATGTTTTTATCAGCTGTTTGGACTCTCATTCTGGCCAAATCTGATCTGATGAAGAACAAAACTCATCCACATCTTGGATGGCCTGAGGGTAAGTTTTGAGCACTTTTTTCTTTTGAGTGAACAATTCCTTTAAATTTCATTTTGAGATGCAAATTTTCATCATTAAGCATCCCTTGAATGCATCCTGCATGTCTATTTGGGCTGCTATGGTTTTTTGTTTTTGTGCTACTTTGTTTTTTTTTGTGTTTTTTTTTAATGTTTTCATGCTCACCCCATCCAATCAGAGACTTCAAGCATTCAACGGCCCCCGTTGTATAATGACTAGTATTATTGACTGAAGAGAAGTTTGAAACACTTTAATGATGGAATTAGCTTATTAAAAACACAGCTTTTTGTTTTACAATGGTGTTAGTTGATGGACTGGAGTCGGCTGGATTGCTTGTGGATTATTGAGATGTTTTTATCAGCTGTTTGGACTCTCATTCTGGCCAAATCTGATCTGATGAAGAACAAAACTCATCCACATCTTGGATGGCCTGAGGGTAAGTTTTGAACACTTTTTTCTTTTGAGTGAACAATTCCTTTAAATTTCATTTTGAGATGCAAATTTTCATCGTTAAGCATCCCTTGAATGCATCCTGCATGTCTATTTTGGCTGCTATGGTTTTTTGTTTTTGTGCTACTTTGTTTTTTTTTGTGTTTTTTTTTAATGTTTTCATGCTCACCCCATCCAATCAGAGACAGCTTGACCATGTAATGTCTGATGTAAATGTTGAAGACTCTGATGAGAAGAAGGTAGAGGTGCAAGGCTTCAACAGCCATCCAGGTGAATGAACACAGCAGGCTGTAGTGTATCGTCACAGCAATAAACATGCAGACTTCTTTCACAGTCAGTGTAGCGGCCCACTCGCCGAGCATGAAGCTCATGTTGAGGAGAAACAGAGCGCCACTCAGAGACACGTGAATGCTGCTGGACACTTCTGCCCTTGCATTACTGCAAAAACACACATTATGTGAATCGAAGCACATATTCTGTACACATTCTTATGAAAACAGAAGAAATGGCACCTGTTGAAAATGAATGACAAGACAGTGGTGGCAGAAAAGAACGTAGAGAGACCGCAGCCTACATAGCTGATGTACGACAAGATTTCCCATTGCTTTTCGGATATTGTTGGGTAATTCAAGTTGATCTATTCAGAGTTAATAAGGTGGACAAATGAGAGGGGAAGTGAACTTTAAACAGTATTAGCTGATTATTTTAAAGTGTTAGTTGAACTGAATGAATTTCATAGGTGGATATCTCAGAACTCACCAGAAGCACAGCAAAAGGGGTCATATGGTTACAGTAACACTCCACAACATTATCACTGATTGGAGTGGTGTTACAGCCATCCGCTTTCCAGGTTCCGTCTCCTATGTAACAGTAAACAAAGTTCATATGCGCCTCATACAGTATGTGCCTCATATAAGAAACCTTTAACCATTACTGTACCGTTTTCATCATAGAATTGACAGGACAGGTTGTAGTTCTTTAGATATAACTACAAAACAGAAATAAATAAATAGCAGGACATTTTTGGGCAATTTGCGAATATTTAAAAAAAAAATTGTATTCCAAGTTACACTTACAGATGTGTCGTTTTCGTAATTAAGTTTGAAGCTCATATTAAGTGGATTGATCAAATTTACAATGTCACGTCCAGGGACTTCAATCCGTATGACTTTGGAGGCAAACAATTTATTTCTCGCTTTAAACTGTAAAAAAAAAAAAAGACAATAGGCTGATTTGTATATTTAAGCTAACTGTAAATTTAAGAAAAATGTGTGACAATAACAAGTTTTCTAATCGCTATGACACTCAACAGAACAATACAGACATCATAAATGGGTGGGATTTGAACCTTTAAGTGCTGATCAGAATTGTAGGTAACTATGCCAATTTTGCTCTCGTTCTCATTTTTGAAAGGCTCAACTGGGATCTGTGTATCAGCTACTTCATCAAAATGTAATACCTTAAAAGCAAAAACAAACACACAAAAAAGTATAGTCAGCATCTTTTACTTTCTTACATACATTGTTCTATACATTGTTATATATGATGTTAAAAATTAAGCTGCAACCAGATGTTATCAAAAACCTGCTGTAAGCCATTTCTTTTTATCAATATCACACATAAAATGCAGTGGTGTGATGCAGTCAGGCCCTTTAATCCCTTTAAAATTGGGATGGAAAAACGGATGCAAGAGTTGCGAAATGCCATTTCACTTTTTCAGTAAAAACGAATGCATTCAGGAAATAAATTAAATATACAGCAGCAATAAAATTATGCATTACAGTAAATGTCATTCCTGTCTGACGGAGATCGTAGGAGGCATTTGTCTTGATAGCCAGTTACTGCCTACTAATGACGTAGTTCATTCTAAAGCCTGCTTTTAGTTTTAACCTTGGGTAAAGGAACTTTCACACTTGTGATTTAGTTAGTGCGGTTACCACCATATTTTACCCAGGGTTATGCACTGACAAGCCCACACTGAGGTGCCAAAATTGTACAGTGTGTAACAAAGCGGTGTTCGAGTGTTAATACTAGATGCTTTGCAACAGACAGCCAATGCATTGGACAGTCACGAAAACACTGTATATTGTATAAACAGTCGTTGCAGTGTTTGAGAGGGAAAATGTCAAAAGGTGACAGAAAATGCATCAGACGGAGAGAAGAAGACTGTTTAATTTTTACCTTTATGCAATATGCGATAATATGAGGATGCAGACAGGTCACATGCTGTGTTCATCCAATCAATGACACTGACACCACAAATATACAAATAAGAATGTTAACCCAGGGTTTAGGAATGTACATGTCATGAAACGTCGACTTATGAATACCTAGGATTAATAGTTAACCCCGGGTAAATTACGAGCAGTGTGAAACATGAATCAAGATAACCTAGGACTGTTGGTGCCGATAGCTTCTTGGTTAGTGTGTGCCAACGTATTGCGCAATTGTGCTTGCGGCGACCCAAGTTCGAATCCTGTCTCGAGGTCCTTTACTAATCCCACTCTGCCCGATACTTTCCTGTCATTTCTCTACTGTCCTATCCAATTAAAAGAAGCATAAACCCCCACAAAATATAACTTAAAAAAGATAACCTAGGATTCTGTTTTTTCAGGGTTTAGAATGACCCAGGGTTAACTAATTATAGTGTGCAATGCACAATATGGCAGGTCTTGTAAATTAAGTCATGCCTTCTAAATAAAAGAGACAAATGACAATTTGAGTCACGTCGGTTGCTGTTACAAGCCCAGCTTCCCATAGAAATGATAGTCACGATGTGTCTCAATCAGCTCCCTATATGCCAGGAATCAGTACAGGTGTGTTTGAATTGCTGTTTATGCCCTGCTGTGCAGACATTGGTATCTCACTTGAAGCAGTGCATGTCAGTTAGGAATTTTCACAAATGGCGCTCTCAAGTCTGAGAGGTTTTCCGATATTTTTTGAAACCGGGTCCCAGAGTGGATAAATCTGAAAACGCCGCCCTTGTGTTTTCGTGTGGACAGCGAATCCGTATATTTTCTGAAACGATGACGTCATCAGCCCACGTCTCGCCCCTAGTCAGACGCCTCTACGTCACGTAACGGCAACAAAAACATGAACAAACACTGAACGATTGTCTTTTTATTAACTAACATTAACACAGATTAATAAATGTATTGTTCCATGTTCGTTTGTATACCGCGCGCAAGGTTTATGCGCATAGTCCAAGTCTTCTTCTCCGTTTTTAGTGTATCTCTGTGGCAGAATTACAGAGCCACATACTGGTCTGGCATGTATACTATATCGTTTTGTGTCGGTTTTGTGGTTTCGTGTGGACGCAGATATTTCTTGAGACGAGGAAAAAAAAAAAGATCGGGTAGGGAAAGCTCTGGCTTCGTGTGGACGTAGCCTTGGACTTGTCACAGACTCGGATGCATTTTTACTCGAACTCGAGCCTTTGGGACTTGGAAAATATTTCCGAGTCCAGGGACAGTTGACAGAAATGTCACTGACTTGATGTATTATCACGAAAATGATATTCAGTATTTGCATGTGTTTTTAAGTCTTGTCCAGTACTTGAAGGCCGACGGGCACTGTGTGCGCACACAGAACCTGAACAGTTGGAAGAAATACGGATGTGTCAAAATATTTGATCTGTGTTTCAGGTCTTATTAAAGCAACATAAACCTGCTGCCGCTGACTGCATCATAAATGTTAATCAAACAACAAAAGAAAGAGAGAAAATCACTCACTACTCTGGACTGAATCACTTAAGTAACTTTAATAAGAATCATCTATATTTAATGTATACAATGAAGACTGTGCATTGTTTTATTTTTACATTTATTACTTCATTAAATGTTGGTAGTAGGTTATTTCTGTAGTAGCCTTTACTGTGTAGACCTGTGTGAAAAACGTAAAAAACGATTTCATTAGTATTTTTGATTAAAGGTGCACTAAGTGATTTTTGAAAAACACTTTTGACCACAGCGTCGGACCGAGTCCTAAAACACACTTGTAGCCAATCAGCAGTAAGGGGGTGTGTCTTGCATTGATAGAGAGAAGAGAGCGCTCAATTGTGCACAGGACAGATATTAGCAGATCGCCTATGGATAGAGAGAGATGGCAGATAAAAAAGAGGAAAATATCAGAGAAACAAAACATTAAAAAGAAGGGTTACGATCAGGCACAGTTCCAGCGGTTTAGAGAACTCAAGGAGCGGGAAGGGCTTGAATCGGACGCCGAGGTTGCGTTGTTTCTTCTTGATAGGTGAGTAAGGTTGATTTTGCTTTGATTCACACAACTTATCCGAGTTGGCTTTTGTTTGAATATGCTTGTGTGTCATCTTCATTGTTTCTGCGATCGTCGTTGCCAGGGTTGTGTACGTACGTGTGGGGCGGAGATTTCAAAATAAGGGCGAGGTCCTGTTGGCCTATGGGCGTGTTTGTTTTGGTGCTTTCAAACAGTGGCATAGCGTCTGGGTATGCAGGTGCATATGGGCCCGGGCAGTTTGGGGGCCCGCTGAGCTGGGGGGAAATTTTAATTGAAACGAGGGAACGAATAGAGCCCTACATGGGCCCGGCCCTTGTCCAACAGCTTGTGAGAATTCTCGGCCCGAGTCCAACTGGAGACCGTGACTTTTGTTCTCTCTCTCTTCCCCATTACACAGCTATTAAAATAGTTCAGTTTTGGTTTTTAATGGCAAAGTGGTCATTTCTTTTTTTTTCTTTAAGTTAATTTAAGCGGAGAGTGGAAACTAAAGCGCGCTTTGCAGGACATGGAGGCGCCAGCGCGATCACTTGCATATTTTTTATTTTATTTTATTTTTTATAACAGTGGAAACTTAAAAATACGCCGTAATTTTTGCTCAAAAAGGTAAGAGTATACATCATTCGGAATTGTAAATGGTCTACTTGTATTTGTGTGCTCTCACAATATCAACAAAACTTTGTGCTTTTGTAAAATAAGGAAAACAAACAGGATGCGATTTCTGTCATCTTGGTCTTGAGCAGGAGAGCTTCACCGACATGATAAATACATATATAGAATGCTTTAAATTACTATTTTAAAACAAAATAATTCAAATCGAAAACAAAAACTCTTTCATTATGTAATCCGTGCATTTCTCTCTAAAGGCATGTCCAAAGAGGAGATGGCAAGTCAGGTTGATTCATTTTCGCAACATTGACTCAGAAAACATTAGTTTATTAACAAATAATTCAAATTTTTACTTTTCTTGTTTGTTTGTTTTTTATTTATTTTTTTAGTTTTTTGGGCCGCTGTGCCAAAATTGTGTTTGCATTCAGTAGCCTATACCACAGCATTTTTGTGCCACGTTTAAAAATAACTAAATAAATAAGATTAACGTCATAATATTTTAAGAATAAAGTCAAAATTACGATAATAAAATCATGTTATATTGCTTGAAGTTAATGTGAAAATTCCACCTATAGGCCTACTCCTCAAAAATAAATAAATAAATAAAAATAAAAAA